GGTTTTATTAGAGGTAATTCAGCCATTGTGTGTTAATGGGGCATGAATGGAATATTAGGAAGCTTCACAAAAATTCTGTTTGTGCCCTCGGGGTAGTTGCTCTGCAGCTGAACATTACGTCAAGCGTAACTGGGAAACAAAAGAAATGTACGAAAAGACAACAAGGCATTCCTTTCCAAGATGTTTTTTCACCCTTTATATAAATAAACTAGAACTAATGAAACTCTTTGCCAAAAACATAGCCAAAATCAACTCTAAAGTTTGACAAGTAATCAAATGGTAACTCCAGTTGTTCACACTTTGGCTTGTTTTCGTAAAAAAGTATGATAAAGCACCTTATAATAAAGAAAAAACAAAGTGTGGAGTGAAATGTACTATTTTAGTTTCAACTAATTTCCCCTGTTTTAGTATTATATATACATATTTAACTTTATAAGATATTTTTAGCCGTAAACATTTGCTTTTAATTTTATTGAGATTAAAACTTGTAATATTTTTAATCACTCCTGCATGTGTGATTCATGAATCCGTATCTAATTTTCACCCTAGACATCCATTTTTGGATCCGTCGGCCGACTCTCTACTTTTACGTTTTCCTGATCTTTCATTACTAGGGGTAGTAGAAAGAAATAGGTCTTCCGTTTCCATCCGTCTGTCTGTCTGTCTGTCCGTCTGTCTCCCGTTCTGATTTTTAGTAGATAGATAATCTCCGAAAGTACTGGGCGATTGTTTTTAAATTTTATATTTATATTAAGAATATCATGTAGATAATAAAACGCTAACGAAAATTTGTCTAATCATCGCCATCAATAATGTGATGACATCATTTCAAAATTGTACATAGCAAATGGGTTTTAAATTGTATAAAATAACATAGATCTACAGATATAGTTTATGACTCCGTATTGGGTTTTTACCCAAAACTTCAAGATTTTTGGAAAAAATCAAAATTGTAAAACAACATATTGCAATTTAATTTTGAATCTGCCAAACTGAATAGTTTGAAATCTTACAGATGTTTTAAATTTAGGGCAAATATAATAATTTTTTAATCAAAATATATTAGCTTGTACCCTCCAAAAAACCGATGACGTCATCTCAAAATTTATTTTGCCGTTGAAAATCCTATCCAAAATGTGCAAAATATGACCAGTGTGTGCTTTATCACTGCATTCATATCTTTTAAATTTGCTTAAACAGGGTGACTCAAAAAAATTAATGAACGCGTGAGTTTATTGAATTGATTTAATCAGGAACTGCAAAACCGCATCCTTTGAAACCTTGGAGATGTTTTAAATGGTAATTTTTTTTATCAAAATGTATTTGCTCATCCCCACTAAAAAAATGATGATGTCACCTCAAAATAATGCTAAATATACCCGAACTTAAATGTGAAAACTATGAAAAATATTCATAATCGTAATCCATTTTTTGGAAAGTTTAGACCACTTATGCTAATATCATCTCGCTTTCTTCTAGATCGTTAGAATCGCCGGATTATTGAATCATTAAATCCCTAAAAACTCTGTAATTTTAAAATCTTCAGAATATGAAATATTCCGTATATTTTTAGAATATTTAGAACTTAGTGTTTTGGGATGTACTGGATCTGTGGTATTTTCAGAAACTTTAAAATATTTTTAAATCTTCTACAAGTTTTAGGATCTCTAAAATATAGTGCCTAGAATCTTTAGAATGTTCACAATATGTGGAATCTCTAGGAACTCTATCATCTTTAGAATTTCTAGGAGCTGTCTCTGAGATTTTTGATATATTTGGCATATCTACAGGATCTCCACATTCTTCAGGACCTCTATGATTTCTAGGACGCACGAATATTTTGTATTTGTGGGATGTTAAGGTCTGTAGGATCTTTCTAGGTTTTTACTATCTTCTCAAGCTCTGTAGGATCTTAAAATTTCGGAATCTTTTAGAAATATCAAAATCTCTCATATCTTTGAAGTCTCTAGAACTTTTAGAATCTTTATAATATTTACCGAATAAATCGTATCTAAAATGTCCAAAATATGATGAGTCTATATTTGTAATTTATCACTCCATTCACAGTTTCTGAATTTTCTTATACAGGGTGACTCAAAAAAATTAATGAATGCGTGAATTTATTTTATTGATTTAATCAGGAACTGCAAAACTCAATCCTTTAAAATCTTGGAGATGTTTTAAAGTTATCATAAACATTGTAAATTTTTGATCAAAATGTATCTTCTCATCTCATCTAGAAAAATTCATGACGTCACCTCAAATTTTTGAGAGAATAACTCCTATCTTAAATGTGCAAAATATGATGAGTTTATACTAGTGATTTATTTTTAATATATAATTAATATTTTTCTAATTTGCTCATACAGGCTGTCTCAGAAAAATTAATGACTGAAAAAATATCCAATCAGATTTAGGAATTTAACGCGTTACTATGGAAATATGCAATTTAACACATTTTAAATTTAACAAGATTTTACAATTTTCATAGGGGCAAAATCAGTGTTATCTTAGCAAGTGCTAGCCCCGCCCACCCGCCCTCTATTTTTTCTAAAAGTATGGCATTTGCCAAAATCAGTCTTATCTTAGCAAGTACTAGCCCCACCCACCCACCCTCTATTTTTTCAGAGGGTATGGCGTCTGCAAAAATCAGTCTTATCTGAGCAAGTGATAACCCCGCCCACCCGTCCTCTATTTTTTCAGAGAATATAGCATTTGCCAAAATCAGTCTTATCTTACCAAGTACTAGCCCCGCCCACCCACCCTCTATTTTCTCAGGGGGTATGGCGTCTGCCAAAATCAGTCTTATCTGAGCAAGTTCTAGCCCCGCCCACCCGCCCCTATTTTATCACAGTATAGCTCTCTAGGATAGTTCTAGCAAGTACTACCTTCTGAGAAAATAAAGGGTGGGTGGGACTAGTATTTGCTAACATATGTCTTATTTTGGCAAATGACATATCCTTTGAGAAAATAGGGGGCGGGTGGGCGGGGCTAGTACTTGCTAAGATAAGACTGATTTTGGCAAATAACATATCTTCTGAGAAAATGGGGGCGGGTGGGCGGGGCTTGTACTTGATAAGATAAGACTGATTTTGGCAGATGACCTATCCTTTGAGAAAACAGGGGCGGGTGGGCGGGCCTAGTATTTGTTAAGATAAAACTGATTTTGCCCCTATTAATCTTGTAAAATTTCCATAGTAACGAGTTAAATTCCTAAATTTACCCGAGATATGCAAAATATGATGAGTTTTTTCTTGTGATTTATCATTGCATTCATATTTTTTAAAATTGCTTATACAGATGGCTCATAAAAAATTAAAGATTGTGTCAATTGTTATTTTTAGTATTACACTGCACCAATGCAAGTTGATATACGTGTCCTTGCAAAAATGTTGATGACGTCATCACAAAATTCTGTAAAGTAAAAACTGAACTCAAAAATTCTGGATATATGTATTTCAGTGTGCTTTAGGTGCGAGGGAAGTTCTGTCGAAACAGCTTTCGACTAATTTTTTAGTAGCTTTGTTTTCTTAGTAGCATCGTCAAAATTCCAAAAACATCACTTTTTCAAAACGCCAATGTCGCCGGAAAAACTGAAAATAATAATAGTAATAAATAGAGAGCGGATTTTATGAAATTTGCATATCCGTTATTTTTTGCATATAAGTCTTGATATTTAATATGTGAACGAATCATGCTAATTAAAAATGAATACAGCTATAAAAAAATTGCATATTTGCATATATTTGCCTTCTGCTGCATATTTCACAGAACGGGTGCATATTTTGCATTTTTATCAATTTTTGTGCTAATTTGAAAAAAAAAATTATTGTCATTCTATCGGAATTTATCTAGAAAGACGAAATTTTATGAATCATATTGCAAATATTGTCCTGAGCTTGAAATAACTAGAAAAGGTTTGGGTTTTATGGTAGTTTGGAGACACCACTAGGTGTTAGCCATCCTTCCAGGTAAATTCGCGCCCTAATTACTTTTGGAAATACCGTTCATTCCCACTATTTTGTTCGTTAGTTAAGTGTATTAATGGTACGTTTAGTGGTGATCGAAGGGACGTTATACTATTATTTTTCATCGTGAGTTTGTACTGAAAGCATTTAAAGGGATACAGGTGTATCAATATGTCGAAGATCACTCAAATTAATGTATGGATTAAATCTTTTCCTGAACTTCTTCAAAACGAACTGTGTTTTGTCGCGCCTGCCCTAAACCGGTAAGCATTTTTACATCTGTGGACGTAGTACGCAGTTTTTCTATTTACAAATACATTTACTTTAGAATCACCGGAAAAACTTTTTGTTAGAATATTTCGAAAAATATCTAAAAATAAATTGTTACCAAAATAGTAATTAATAAATTATAGTGGATTACTACTATTTTTTAATTTGATCTGTTTATATTTATTTTTTAGTATAAGAATATTATCTTTAAAAACGTGATTTATGTGTTAGTGTAATTAGTAGTAATTAAACACTTTGCAATGCGATTTATGTATTTTTTGTAATAAAACGTAAGCTCGGGAAACCTGTTTTTGAATTTTATAAATAAATTTAGTTCGCTTATTAAGCTTTTTTTTTAATTTTTGGAGCATATGCAACTGCATATCTGTGCATATATTAAGAAAGTTACTGCATATTTGCATAAATTTGGTGCATATCATATGATCATATTTCTAAAAATTTTGCTGCATATTTTCCGCTCTCTAGTAATAAATCAGTGGACGTAAAAGCGTCTGGATGAGTCCACTTGCAAATTTGGGGGAGGAAATTCTAGTGGTCGGTTGCGTTCGGCGTTCTAGGCTGAGATTCCTTCGTGGTTTGACCTATTATACATATACAGGGTGTCTCAGCTAAAATCGGCACCCACTCTTCCAGAATATTTCAATAACGACAAATTTCTGTTGGATGTTATATTGTGATGACAACATTCAATGAGAAAGTCCTATCTTTTACGCTTGTAGGTACAATTTTATACGAATTACCTAAATATATTATTGATTTATTGTTTTGAGAAAACTAAACATACTTGAAAAAAAAACAATAATAAAGTTGTTATCTCCTGCGGTAAACACGTCTAATTTGATCAAGATTAAGTAAGCGAAGTTGCTAACCGAAATTTTAGGCCAACAATAACAATAATATTTTAATCAATAAATTAAGAATATTATCTTGGGCTGCTTTTGGTACGAGTTTTCTTTTTTTTTAAATTAGAGCTCCCAGGCTCATAATCCGTTACCTAAGAAGTGCTTCCCTAATTTGGTCCTATATCGAAATCGGCAGCCTCCGGTGCCCTTGGCCCTACCCCCTATATTCGGGGTGAGGTCCCCACTACCCTCTTGCGCTACCTGTGCCAGTCGGTGATCAGCATCCGCGAAGGTACCTCGCGCCCATGAGCCACCATGACGGTCGAGCTCCTGCTGAAAATGCAACTGTTTTGGAAATATTTCAAAGGTGAGTGCTCCGCTCCATCGAATTACCATTAATTTCCCGAATAAAATATAGCGTTTCGGGGCCATTAAGCGCAGCCCTCTTGATTGGAAATAGTAGCCTTGCGATGTCCTGATTAAGCCGAGGACTCGTATATCCAGCACATAATGTCCAGATACCGCTTCTAAAAGCGTACGAGTGGCTATACTCGGCGTCACTTTATTGGCCCTCCGGGTGACAAATGAAGATCGGGTCGCGACATTAACTACCGGCGGCGAGGTGTTTTGCACTTTTCGCGAAATAAACGCTAGGTTTGCGAATGGCCACGGTGACGGCGCCGAAAATAAACGTGGTGTTGGATGTGGCGCAGATGAAAGGAGTGGATGGGTCACGCTGTATATGTTTGATCGGAGATTTTGACGTTAATTTAGAGAGTGAGTAAAACGGGTAAACAACTTCGGTTGAGTAAACTACTTAGTTTGAAAAATACTTCATAATCTTTGATGTAGCCTTGAGGGCTTAGCTTTATCAGTTTTGTGCAATAAACATTCCGCATGACATGAAAACAATCACATGGAAGGTGTTGTGGCGATTTTGCCAAAGTAGGAGCGGCCGAAGTTCGGTTCTAAGGATCCTAGACCACCTAAACGGTTTTTTATTTATTACTCACTTAACTTTGATAATGATAATCTTATATTTTTTGTACACTTATATTTATTTAATAGCACTTGTGATCAACAAGTTTTTAGTTCAAAGTTTGTAGTTAGCCACAAAATTGTGTGTCATTGTAGGCGTGTGATTACTGGTAGGGTAGAACTTTTAAGTAGATTCATTTTTTTTTAAGAAATACATACGAGTTCAAACTTGTTTCTCAGATAGGTTAACCCCTTTTAATACGGACCTATTTTCTTTAATTTTATTATCATAATGATGTTTTTATTTTAGGTTTCTATTCTCCGGTTTTTTGGTTTTTGAATATTTTTATATTTTTATTTATTTGTTAATTTACGTTTTTTTTTTGCCAAACATTAAGTTTCCGTTTACTTAATATTTTGTGTTGTTTATTTAATGCTATCTACATTTTTTCCTATATCTTCAAACCTCCTTAATATTAAATCATCAGATGTAAGTTTAAGCCTGGGGTTTAAACATCTCACGTGTTCTCACAAAGTTTTTGACCTCTGTTTATTTATCAGATATTCAAAAAGGTGGAAAAATTGATTCCTATATTGCTTCTGACAAAATTTTCGTCAGAACCCCTTATTTTTCCAAACCGAAATTAGGTTAATTTAGGAGTGTATCCGTCGAAGTCAACCATCCCAACCCTGAAAGTGCCTAAATGTCACAATTCCTCGTCCGCCAGCTTGTTTGTATCGAGGGCTCCGAGTCAACGGGGTTGTTTGTCCATCGCCCCTCCAGGGCCGGCTGCGCCCACCACCATGTCCTTTAATCGAATTTATTTATTGCGTTATCCGTTCCGGCGATATGTGACAAGGTGGCCCCAAATGCGATTACTGACCACCTCCTGGCGCGAAAAAAGCACAAATCCATTTACGTGCGCTTCACGATTCCGTCGTGACACTTCTTCGGATGTGGTATTGTTTTGGCGTTAATCAATATTTCTCTTAAGGAAAACGCGGAGAACAAAAACCGCCCTTTTTAGGGTTCGGACAATGGCGCGTCCGTTGTTTGCGAGCTCAATACGCACCTGGACATTGTGCAGGAATGGCCGACGAAGGGTTGATGTTTAATTTTGTGTGCTGTTTGGAAGCCACGACAAAGAATGGACCAGACGTGTAATCAATCGACCGGGACCCATATACAGGGTGATCGAAGAAAACGGAGGCGCACGTGTCGCGCGGGTGTCAGGCGAGGCGTAGGACGCGACGGCGATTACAAAATGTCAACAAGTGTTGGTAATTAGTAAACTAGAGATAAATTGTGTTGATTGAGCGCGGTTTCGTAATGTTTGCCGCCAGGTTTAAAAATGAAGGCGAGGATGAAGCCGGAAGAATGTAGAGCGCGAGAAATAAGTTATTCGACGTGTTTAGTTCAAACTTGGCGCCGGTTCGGTGGCAGCAGCGCCCCCTACGCCGGCTCCGCGTAAATTGCCAATAAATCCGGCCTCTAATCATCCGTTCGCCGCATCGTGATGCGTCACGTCTCGCAAACAACTCCGCCGATTCCTTATCACGACCCAATAGAATACATTACAATATATATTGGTCCAGTAATAGACGAGAAAATAGCCAATTTTATATCTGTATCTGTCATTGTTCCGATTCCGTTATCGGAGATTGATGGCAAATTGATTCGAGATTGGTTTCTGTTGTGCAGGGTTAAAGATGACCATTGTCCGAACGTGTCCAATAAAAAGGGTGCGTGGACCCTCGGCCTCTCGGCATTGGTCAGTCCAGGGAGTGGTCAGCGAAGGGGTAGTTTCGGCCGGACACGGTTGGACGAAAAAGGATACTATTTGTTCGGTTACCTATGAGAAACGGTCAGGGAGGGTCAACCGAGAAGGGTTGAAAAAACTGTTATTAGGCCAAAGTGCATTCAAAATTATGCAGAATTATGGGGTTTTTTCGGCGGTTTGGACCGTTTTGGACAGGGGTGGGTTAGTAAATAGATACTTTTGCGCTTGCCGCGGGGCGCGCAACCGTTAGAATGACAAATTTCCTACGAAATTCGCCGAAGTAGAGAGGTTGGTTAGGGGAAATTGACAAGCGGCGCAAGTCCCCGGAGATGGCCAGACCATAATTTAACTATTTGTTGTACTTACTTAATTTCATACTAATTTAATTATTTTAGACGGATGAAAAAGGTAACTGCTACAAAACTGAGAAGTGAAACAACGGAGGAATAGATAAAAAAAATAAAAACAATAAAACACACAAAATTATAAAAGCAAGAGGAATTAGACTGATAAATAAAGAAAAAAGTAGTACAAGGGAGAAATAGACAAAGGAAAATTTTGTTTCATCACAATTATGTTAAAATAACCAAAAAAGTACAAAATATAGAAAAGAGATATGCTGGTATTAAAGAGAGAAAAATAACTATTATTATTATTATTATTATTAACAGATAAACCAATTATTAGAGTGGTATATTCAGGCGCGGATACAGGATTTCGTTTAGGGGGGGGCAATTTTTGTGAGATTTTACCTATCTCCCAGATATTCTTTCTAAATCAAAAAATTTATAAAATTTTAACTTAGTATACTCTTTTTCACATAACATGGGTGACATTTGGTTGTTTTCGTTACACGTATAGTGTACAGTAGAACCTTGATAATCCAAATTAATTGGGAAAAACGTGTGTTCGGATTAACGATTTGTTCGGATCAGCGATTTTCCCAAAAATCTGTAAGGAAATTGAATAACTTCATACACAGTTTAAAACAAACTTCAAGAAATAAACCTTAATTTTATTAAACAAAATTAAAGAATTCTTAAGCAACATTGGATAATAATAGATACATTCTAAAAAAATATTACTCCATGACCATAAACACGCTATCTTTTTGGAATCAACACGCCGGGATCTATAACCTGAAATTTTTCAGAATTTTTAGACGAATTTTTCAAAAATGAAATTTTCCATTATGTATTCTCGACGATTTTCGAAATTTAACTAAATACATTTTCTTGTAGATTTTTGGCCTCAGAAGTCACTTCTGGCTTCATTTCTTCGATAACTTAAATCATTTTTCCAGATTCGTCCAGTTGAAATACTTACGGCAATTTTTAAAAATTTCGAAAAATTCGAATTTCACACCGAATTTTCGAAAATATTGCTCGGTTACCATTAACATGCTATATTTTTGGAATCAGCACGTCGGGATATACATACAGGGTGTTATTGAAAGGTACGTACAACAAAATGGACAGTTCTTCGCGAAGTCTAAGAAGTCGGAAAAACTTATTTTGTCTTATCAAAATTTTAAGGGGAAAATTAACCCTTATCCAATCTTTTTAGACGCTACTGAAGGATAAATAGGTAAAATTAATTTATTTTAGTAAATCCTAGCAACTGTAACAATAAAACTTTTGTCAAGACTAAATGTTGCTATAGAAACGAAAGATGATCTTTTTATCAGAGGCGTACAACGAATTTGGACATAAATTTTAATAATTTTTATCTATAAAAGAAGAACACTTTTACCTGAACTTTTTTTAAATTTTAGCACCCATACTTCGAGACCAACTGCCGATTTTATTTTGTACGTACCTTTCAATAAGAGGCTGTATATCCCCGAATTTTTTCAGAATTTTTAGGAAACTTTTTCAAAAATGAAATGTTCCTCATGCAAATTTTCACCCATTTTCGACGATTTTCGAAATTTAGCTACCTAAATAGCTTTTCTTGTAGATTTCGGGCCTCATTTCTTCGATAACTTCAACCTTTTTTAACAACAACAATTTTTAAAAATTTCAGAATATTCCATACAACATATGTAAAAAGATCTTGCGTCATTTTTGCAAGTAGATGCGTGTTTCCAAGTTCAGTTCGGATTGCAGAGTTTTTGTTCGGATTAATGAAGCATCGACTTCAAATAGCCTCTGTTCGGATTACTGGATGTTCGGATAATCGTGAATTCGGATTATAGAGGTTGTAGGTATTGTATTTACAAAATGAAATGCGATTTCAAAATTTTGAAATTGGTCAAAATAAAGTACCTCGGTCGTGTGTCAGGGGGGGGCAATTGCACCCATTGCCCCCCCCCCCTGGATCCGCGCCTGGGTATATTAGGGCTAAATTAGATCGTTAAAATTACAATCAGAAAAACAAAAAATTTAGGTAAGTAATGTACATTTCGTACAAAACACTGAACCTAATTTTTGCTTTAGTTATGTCAGGATTGCTATCTATTTTGAAGTGTAAAACAACCCAGTCATAAATTTTAATAAACGTAATCAACAACTACCACCAAATATTTTTAGTGTTTTTTTTAACTTCATTCATTCTGAACTTAACGAGAGTCCACTGTGCTGCAGCCACTTCTTGCGGTTTATCCAGATCCATTTTTCCCGATTTTTATGCATCTATCGATTTCAGTAAACAGCTGCGAATCCGTCCCACCCCCTGATGTGACCGGGTGTCGTAATGACACTCGACAAGCGGGGCGGCAACCCCTTCGCCCCCCTAATAACGAACCCCTGCAGGGATTAGCAATCACCAGCTCGCCGATCCATATTTTTAATTGTTCTTCTTAACGGGGTGTCTTGTTTGGCCGTTCTTTGTCGACAACTTTCCCCACAATGCATTTTTTAATTGTGCTCCAGTCGTACGATCAAAATAAAAATCGAAACGACAGACTTCGCATCGCCGACCGCAAAAACAAAGGCTTTTCTACTGGAGGCAATTATTGTTGTTATTGGCCATTCTGCGGGTATAACCTTTATGTGCAAATAGGCTAATTGCTTCGTTTAATTTATGGCGAAAGCGAGGCCCGATAACCGACAAAGTGCAGATAGTGGAAAAACGGCCGGCGGAAAGGAAAAACAGTTTAAAATATTGTTGCAATGTGCGGAAGTCGCGAGCTTCGTGCGCTCCCGACGACTCGCAGCTCAGACTCATGATTCTTTTTTCACGCTCGCTCTTGTTGCAGCAGACGCAGACGGGGCAAACACCGACACCCACCAGGATATCCTGACCTGCGGCGTCTGCCAGAAGCCCTTCGCCCTCTCGGACATCGTCCGCTTCATCCAGCACAAGGTAGCCTCTTGCAACAAGGAGAACTTCGGTCAATGCTTCGGCGGCAGCGAGCGAGAGCGCGACAACGACGACGGGGCGCTGCCCCTCTCCAGCATAAACACCCGCCGGCCCAGCATCTCCGCCCCCATCTCGGGCAAGAAGGCGTCGGGGAGCCGGGTGCACACGCCGCCGCCGGCCTCCCCCAGGCTGCCGGCACCTGGGGACTTGTGCGTCGACGGCGCCGCGTCGTCCACCCCCAAGCGGCGAGCGTCGGCGTCGCCGCTGACGTCGTCCAGCCTGGAGGACGGCGAGGACATCAAGCCGGACATCAAGCAGGAGCGGATGGACACGACGGAGGAGAGCAGCCAGTGCAAGAAGTCGCGGACGGAGTTCGCCGACGCCGAGTCCAACACGACGCACAGCGGTAGGTCGACAAGTTTTGCCTTGGCGGCTAGTTTCGGAGATTGTTGGCGAAGTAATATGTAAAAGAGGTCGCTTTTTGCGCCACATGCTGCCGGTGCGCGTAATTTGGCGAGCTTTATCGCGGAAAAGGCTAACGAGCCACCGTAAATCACCAGGTAACGACGGCGGGGTGCGCGACCGCGGTGGTCAAAGGCGACCTTTGACCCTGTCGTTAGCGTTTTACAAGTCGAGATAAACACCAGTAATGCACTGGCTGGTCGTCAGGACGCGTGATGGACCCATAAAACACGGCTAATAACAGCCCGGAGTCCGTCGTAATTGTTTTACGGTAATTTGCAAAGAATCGCGTAATTGCGCCATATTTTCGCACCTGAAGCCGCACACCGATAACACCGAGTGCTCGCCGGTACACCACAGAATAATCATAACTCAGGCTAGTCACTTTTCCGATACTTTCGACTTCAATTAGAATCATGGAGTTCTCAATCCATTTTTGGAGATCCACGCCGAACATTAAAATTTATTAGCGAGTGTCGTGGCCGGGGGAGGGCGAAAACTCTTTTAATAAAACAAAGTCTGTGCTCGGGGCGACTGTCAGGAGACTGTTTCGTATTTATTAAAAAGTAAATCTCAATTTTGATTGATTTACAGCCTATCGATAACATTTGCGACGCTGTGGTGAAATTCATAATCGTGTATTGTGTTTCCCTTTTCTAAATTTAATATCGGGGTGAATTTCCGGCTGAAAAATTGTGATGATGGTGTGTGATTGCGGCGCGACACGGACCACCGGAATACTGATGAGGGGTTGCTTCCTCGGGGGCGCTTTAAAAATTTTAATTAGACCATTCTGCAACGAAAAAATTAGTTCAAGGATAACGTTTAGAAGCTAGATGCAATTAACAACTTTCGCCGGAGAAATGTCAACGCAACTCCAACATTATCTTCCTTTTCATTCCAACACACGCCACATAACAAAGCTGCAATCACGTTTTAGTAGAACACGACAATAAAATTTTTTCGACGTGTTACATTTAACGAGTGGCATTTTAAACAAGCGACACATCCGAAATAACGTCGGAAATGCACACGTGCAAAAACACAGCTCGCTTCGCTCGCTTCCTGACTTTCGTCTTCCATGTCTTTCATAAGTAGGTACATACAAACTGTAGCGATATTAATCTGGTTTTTCTCTTCGCCCTAGACGAGGATGTGCGGCTTTCCCTCGTCGCATCTATCCATTGTCCAGGTCCAACCCTTCCGCGTCACCCTCTCATCTAATAGACTCAGCCGAGCGTAGAGAAAATTTTAAACTTCTTTAACCCCCAAGGGTCATCGCAATCGCGACATATGCGCCCTTTCTCTCGTCGCAGCCTCGTTGTGTCGATTTTCGACGTTCGAGTTATTAAATATTCCGGCTGTCGTGCGAGAATGACAGTTTGTTAATTTAAACGCCGCGGGTTGAAGACATTTGACACCGACACCGTAAGAAATACGATTTTGTTACACGGAAAACGTAAAGAAGTCGACGTCAAAATATTGTCTTACGGCTGGAGGCGGCCGAGGCACCGGATTCATCCCATTTTATTGCTTTTCATCGGGCTCTGATTATGGAGTGTTCGGTTACATGACGCTGACGGTAAATAATAGTTACGTTTCTATCGGCCCATCATGGTAATTTCGTGTTGAAGGCGCGTCCAACGCGGAAAACATGCGTCATGTGAAGCGGTCATAATTCAAGAAGTAGGACGTTGCGACATCGGGCATTAAATTCAATAACAAACCGTAAATTAAATGGGATTTTTGCGGGTTTATGAGCGCGAGGGGGAGGCGACAACGCGCCTGTGTATGTGCGTGAGGATAAAAAGGCGATTAATTGTTTTCGCTGGATCGGTTGCGGAACGGCAACAACGTTTTCATAACGACGTTCGGGCTCAAAAAAAAAAAATCAAATTCCTGCTTTCGGTACATACAGGTCGTTCGGAAACCAGCTCCGCACGTTCCTCTCGCGTGTCCAGGTCGGCACGCGGCTCACCCCATCTCCCTGTTGCACCCTTCCGCTATCTTGTACACGCTCCGTCCAAAAAAAGATGCACGTAATTAAGACGAGCAGATGATAGCGACCGGTAGACGCGTGTTGGACGCAACCCTTAATACCTGCCCTAAGTACCCTCTCGCATTAATAATCGTCGTCCTCTCCTTTTTTTCTTCGCTTTATTACCGAGCGCGTGCTGAAGCGTCCCACCGTAAATCTCGAGGACCATCCGTCATAAGCCCCGATAGATTATTTCCTTAATGCGGCGATAAGGCCGAAATGACCGCGATATTCAAATTTTTAAGCTCCGTTTCTTTGTGCGCTGTCCAAAAGCCGTATCACGTATTCAACGCGGGGCTACTTTCGTTCGCACCCTTATCACGCCGTAGCTGCTCACCCCTTCGACTTTTCGCCGTGGGACGACGAGGCTGTGCCGCTCCGCAGCGACTTTAAAGATCTCGCAAGATGTTTCCAACCGCCCCCGCCCCTCCGGACCCTTCGTGATAAATAATCGCGAGTTCGTGGAGTCCTTTGTGCTCACTTCGCGGCCACATTTTAAACATATGCAAATGCTCTAAGCCTTCTGCGATGACCGTGACTGGAAAGCCGATGGGCTGCGGACGGCTGGACCAGGAAGCGGATTAGAGGGGCTTAGGAGCCGAGACGGCGGAGGAAGGATGAGGTTTTTTGCTAAATAGGGGTTATTAAGTGTATGGACGCGCTGATCCGAAAGAGGGGACTGCTATTTTCGTCATTTTTTCGCGACGGATACGATTCTGCGTTTCAACTACATAGGTCTAATAAGACAAACTATTTTTGCTTCTTCGTAGTCGTGTTTAGATTCGTTAAGATAGGTCTTTGTTGATGCGGAATGTGCGGTTCTCGCGGCACTTTTAGCGTTTTGCGGAGCGGCCCCGTGGGGCGGCAGCGTATCGCAGCGGTGGCGGTCCGCATGCGGCGCCGTCGCCGCCCCCGCCGCGACGAAATAATAATACAGTGAAAATCGGAATGAAAAATTGCTCGGACATTTACGGTGGAAATTCCTGGCGAGGGTGTGCCGTACGTGTCCGGACTCGCAGATTGGGTCCGATCGGGCGCTCCTTTGACAATGAGGAGGAAGCACGGATAAGTGAGCACATCTCGCGAGGTCAGACTTGAGACGGCGGAAGTAATATCGTAATGACGGGCTCGGCGATCGGCCCGAAATCGCTTCTTTCTGCATTGTTCTGAGGCCGCAATTTAGCCGAATCGATTCGCTTAAACTGGCCCGCTCGGGCCGGACGTCGCGGAAACGGAAATAGTGGCGGCTTCCGGTTTGCGACACGGCTCCGGGCGGTAGGACATTTTTTGCAAGAAAGGAGCGACGCGGATCGGCGAACGTACGGATAATTAAGGCCGCAATAAGACGGCGAGATGGGAGTAATGAGATGTAGGCACGTTCGAACGACGGTAAATGAAAAGGCGCAAGCTGAAGAATAAACATACAATGTAGCATTTGCATGCGTGTTGCCGTTCCTGGGACGGGAGGAATCGAAAAAATTGAATCGTTGCGTCAACACGCGGACATGATACACGACTGCATGCAGCGCCCCAGAAAAAACCAAATAGATAGATACACACATCCCCGCTCGTCTGCGCGAAATAAGCTTTCACATTATATATGTATACGACGATCGAAAATATCATCAACCCTTCTCTTTGTTCCAGAGCCCAGCAACTACGTGTGCAGCACGTGCAAGGCCCGCCTCCACTCCGCCTGGCGGCTGGTGCAGCACGTCCAGCACTCCCACGGCATAAAAATCTACATCGAAAGCTCACCCACCAGCAGCAAGAACAACAACAACCACAGTTCGAGCAGCGCCAGCAGCAGTTCCTCCGGGTGCTCATCCGGCGGCGGCCCTCCGCCGCCCCCGAGCATGCGTCACCACCTCTTGCCGCCCCCGGACTTGCACAACCCTTTTGGCGTCGGGGGCCTGCTCCGCCTGCCCTTGCCCCCGCTCAACCACGGTCCAGTTCCTCCAGCTCCGCTGTTCTCGCGGCCGGAGCACCACTACCGCATCGATCAACTCGTCAGCGAACAATTCCGCCACCACGGTTTAAACTTGGCGGCGGCGGCGGCCGCCGTCGCCGCCCAGGGCGTCCCGCCGCCGCACGCCAGCTTTCCGTCGCCGGCGGAACGCGCCCCTTCCGCCTCCAGCGTGCCGTCGCGGGAACGCAGCACGCCCAACCAACCCCTTTCTCTGGAACCGCAGCTGGATTTTTACTCGCAGCGGCTGAGGCAACTCGCTGGTACTACTAGCCCGGGGGCGGCGCAAGCGAGCTCGCCGTCCCCGCGAAAGCACTCGCCGCCGTTCGCAAGCCCCTCGCCCGTGCCGCCTACCACCATGAGCAACAACAACATCAGCAGCAGCAGCAGCAATAACAACAACAACAACAACAGCAGCCATAGCGGAGGCAGCAGGGCGGCGAGCACGTCGCCGCCGGCGAAAGAGGAAGGAGGGACGCCGAGGACGGCGTCGACGCCGCCGGGCAAGCCCGAGTCGCCGAGGACGGGGATCGCGACGGAGCCGAGTCACGCGTGCGACTTTTGCGGGAAAAAGTTCCGCTACCAGAACAACCTGGAGACGCACCGGAGGACGCACACGGGGGAGCTGCCGTACAAGTGCACGGTGTGCGACCACGCGTGCGCGCAGAGCTCGAAACTGAAGAGGCACATGAAGATCCATCGGACGCCCGAGGACAGGACAAGTAACGCGGGCTCGGTGGAGACGCTGGACGGCGACGAGAGCGACGAGGAGGAGGAAGTCGAAGAGGAGGAAGAGGAAGAGGAGGAGCTGGAGGAGGAGGAAGCGGAAGATTTGAGGGTGCCGTCGCAACTCCCTCCAAAAAACGCGAACCAGTCAGCTTCCCTCGTCGGGGAGCTGATGGATAAGTTCGGGTTGAGCAACATCGCTCAGTACAGCGAAGCCTACAAGCAAGCCCTCCAGGAGTCCAACTCGGCGCTGAAGCTGCAGCTCGCCAGCAAGGACCGCGACAACAACAACAGCACCAGCCTCAGCAACCAGCTGAAGCTCCGCGACGAGTTCAAGAGCCTCCTCCCGGGTCCGCCGCCCCAGCCGCTCCCTCTCTTCCCTCCCTTCAACGACTCGTACGAAGCCTCCAAGCGCCTCAAGCTCGACCTGGAGCGCAACGACTGGTGGCTGCCGGGCCTCCCCCGCGACAGCAAAGGTCTCGCCGGCCCCAGCGCCCTCCTGCCCAACCCCCTCATCAAGAAAGAGACTAGCCGACGCAACGACACGTGCGAGTTCTGTGGCAAAGTGTTCAAAAACTGTTCGAATCTGACGGTCCACCGCAGATCGCACACCGGCGAGAAGCCGTACAAGTGCGAGTTGTGTTCGTATGCCTGCGCGCAAAGTTCCAAGCTGACGAGGCACATGAAGACGCACGGCAGGATAGGGAAGGACGTCTACAGGTGCAGATTCTGCGAGATGCCGTTCTCGGTGCCGTCGACGTTGGAGAAGCACATGAGGAAGTGCGTGGTGAACCAGGGGAAGGGACACCTGTTGTCCACGATGCCGATGTTGTCGGGAGACGAGGACTCTTCGGCGAGTATCGCGTCCAAAGAGGCGACATGACTCTTTCCCTGGGGCGGCATGAGGCTACCCCCGCCACCTCCCAGTCTTACGTACTAGCTAGTCGACGGACTTTTAGGGAATTGTGATGAGTGATGAATGATGGACGATTGGACACCGGGAGGCTCCAGGGATGGGGATTCCGGGTGGACTGTTCGACGCCGCGGGTCGTCGCGTTCGCGAGAGGGGGACGTGGGGCGCGGCGCGGCCGTCGGGAGATTTTAGACGAGAAGACGTTCAGAGGTTCTCGACCTGGTTGCGATAGCCGTTTACGTTTTTTTTTTCGTCCCCACGTCCGCTCCGATTTGGTCGATCGCGCGACGCGGTACCGCCGAGGCGGCCCCTTCCGCCCGAAAGGGCCGCCTCGTCGCACTTCCATGTAACCGATACCAAAGCAATGTTTAACTTTCGTAACTATTATTGATTATTGAGTTTATTATTGATTCATGTATATTTGTAATAATTAGGTCGTAGGTTGTTGTTTGAGACTGAGGGCCCTGGATAGCATGATGGCGCGTCTTCAGGCCGTCTCGGGCCCACTGTACATTCCCGATCATATCATTTCTGGCCAGTAGCCTTGACTGTACATAAACAGTATTTATTGCCGTGTAGACCCACTGTACTGTACAAATGTCTCTCATTAAATTATTTCCACTTAATGTATAGTATTAAATTGTATAGATCCATGTTTTTCAAAGTTACTCTTTAATGTTGGTGTTAGACAAATCGAGAAACCGCCCTGTGCGTCGTCAGGGTCGTCTATAGATTTAATTCAGGGTCAGATAATCTATAGGGCATATCCGCATTTGTTTCATGATTCCTATCGTCAGCCACCTTATTCCGGGAAAACCACGAATACGGTGGCCGATTGCCGTTTTGTATGCAATATAGTACTACCGTGGACCAGGGTCTGTTCTTGTAGTATTGCCGGATTCAATTCAATGTAACTGTATTAATGTTAATATGTTATTTCGAATATTTTTATTTATTTCGACATGGCTGTAGCACTACGGTGTTCGTATGGGCTGCACTCACTTAATATAATCGTGTTCCTATACTGAACTCCCATTTCAGTGTGTATTAAATTAAATCTATTACAATATTGACCTGGACTTTTATTTTTCACCCGATTTGCAAAATGAAAAAAACTGCCTGCAGCGAAACAATTAATATAATCAACCTGTCAATTTTTTTTTTCGTAAGTCGCGACACGGACCATTTAACGACAATCAAATCCTCCATCTTTCATACGGTTAACGGCTCAACGACTTTTTTCAATGAAAACTGATCACTTAATTAATTCGATATCAAAAAGTATATTAAACGAGTCGTTCATTATAATAATTGATCTTGTTTGCGTCTTCTCTCCCCGCTCCCGTGAAATGGAGAACGGCGTAGGTGAACTGTGGGACGATCAGTCCCTTATTCTTTCGAGAGTGGTGATCTGGGCTATGCAACCCACATTGTAGCGATGTTACAGAGATCTGTGGGCTTCTACTAGTCACCAGGTGGCAGCACCGGCGAAAAGCGTCTGATGTCGGTGAAACGATTCATAGAGAACCAGCTGGTGTGTCTATTTGACAAGGTAAATTGTTTACCTTTATTACCTGGACGATGTTTTGGTTGCATATCCGTCAACTTTTATTGATTTCTTTGAGTGTATTTGAGTGTCTTTCGACGAGGAATTGGACGGTTTTGTAGGAATTAGACGAAAGTGAGAGAGTTTTTTACGTACACTAAAATGAGACAAATGAGATGGTGTGTAATTACTAATTAGATACGAATTAGTGAAAATTATGTGTGAATAGTTTATTTAACGGAAGAATTGGAATTGTAGATACATTCGTACTGTAAACGTCGTCATAAAAGTTTTTTCTTTTATGAGAAACTGAGTTTCTTTGACCGCATTTGCAACATAAAAGACTGTTTGTTCAAAGCGGAATATTATATTGCAAAGATAACATTACGAATATTCACTTTTCAGACGGTTTGTAGGAATATATAGTCTTTTAATTTCGTTTTGCTTCAGTTGTTTTTTTTAATGAAAGATTGTCTGACAGAATTCACGTTTTGGAATATATTTCAGTATCATTAGGATTTTAGAGTCTTTATTAATTTTGACGAAAGCATAGAATATCATATTTTTATTCAAATTTTAATTGATAGAATACATTTTTTATTATGACTACACAGGAACATACATTATACACACCCGCAACATAAAAAAAATTGAATATTCGTGACTTTGTTTGTATATTAGTGATTGCATTTTTTTAGGTGACTGCACAAATTCCTGAAATTTCGAATCATTTTCACCCGTTTCTGCATTTTTGAAAAGATCTGAAATTTTCATTTTCTGAATAATTATTTTAAATTTTTATTCACTTGATATTTGGGCAAAGAGTTGTCAAACTAGACGGTAAAATTTCTAAAAATGTTGAAGTTTTTACTTTCCTTGTAGTCGTTTCCCTAATTTTTTCGATACTCTTTCAAATATCAACATTTTTACATTAATATAATATATTGCGACACGTGAATGAGTGATTAAATCAACGCAAGCCGAAATTCTCGTTTTTTTTTTCGTGTCGGAAATTTAAGCTTGCACATTTGTTTTATAATTCACTCTTTCACGCTGAAAAATTAATAATAATGATGGAATTTCATCTCAACTTTATACAATAACGATGTTCATGCGAGACGTTCTATTTTTGTTACCTGGGAAGCCGCCCCCGCGCCGCCCCCTCCCAAAAATTCTCCACGATAATACGCGCCCGTTGCACGAACCGCCCCAAAATCCGTCTCATTAATCTTAATAGTAGAGTAAGCAAGTCGGGCACAGCAGCAGCAGAGATTTAGCAGGAATAAGTGCAAGTGGTTATACAACAAACCGCACGATATGCCAGTCAAGTAGGCTAGGCATTGTGAGCCACCATTCATCTAATTAGCGATTGCTGCTGACTTCGGAGCATTCACATGCGAGACTTATCGCTCTTACACTCATTAGGGCCGGATTAATCCATCAAGGAGGCAGGCTGCCGCCCCCAGACTGTGACTCGACAAAATGGAGGAGGCCAAAAAAGGCATCCACCGGCCACGCTTGTTCTTCGCCCGAACGGTAGGCAACCAACAACGCGAAGGAAGGGTGGGGGGAGGCGGAAACGCGCTACTCAATCTGAAGCTGTCGTGACCAGGCGCGTAAAAACACCTAGCTATTATGTCTGATGACTGCGAGATGGATTTGCAGCTCCTGCTTGATTGTTCTAGCTTTGTTTACCTATCAAGGAGTTGCCGCTTGACTCCCCTTCGCAGACTGTGACTGACTGATTAAAGACATGTGTGGTGCGCGGATTATCAAGATGGAGGAAAACATCGAAGGGAGGAGGCGGAAGAGTCAACGGAAGCGGGAAAGAAAAACATTTGGGTTGTGGGGGGCGAGAGGCGGTGGGCGGATTAACACGAGACGAGATATAGAGGAATCTGGCCAAAATTTGGAAATAGACTATCTTATACAACCAGTAAAACATCAAGTGAAACTAATAGTGTTATATATTATATATTTTTTTCTTATAAAACATGCAAAACTGAACCATTATTTCACAGAATAATTCTATCAGCGAATGTGAAAACACGATTTACTGGAACGCCCTGTATAGTACTCATGAGTGGTACTAGCAATTTTTTATGTGGACATTGCATTTAACTTTCGTTGTATTTTAAAAATTAACACTCATTCGGATAACTATACCGTGCAGTCAAAAATAAAATCAACTAGAGTTAACTGTGAGGTCAGTTGTACAGATGGCACTACTGCCCAACTGTCATTCCATGAGCTGATAAATCTGTCACCGATCAGTGTCAAAAATCAAATACTGAGTCATATCTCGTTTCTTCGTTCAATAAAATGTTTTTTGTTGTAATAGAAGCATTTTTTTTAGAATTCTGAGACGGTGTCAACACACAAAAAGAAAAGATTATGGTTATAGTTACATTAAATTACGGGCAGTGGAATCACCACCTGATAGCCAGAGCAAACTTTGATTCATTTATGTATTGTTGTATTATATCATATATTTCAGTTATATCAGATTTTTAAAGACTTATAGTATAGTTTAAGAAATATCGTTGTACCCTATAAAATTTTATTGACAATAATATTTTTTACCATTGTACTTCTGTCCGCGTCGTTATTGTCAATAAAATTTTATAGGGTACAACGATATTTCCTAAACTATACTTACGGCATGTATAGAACTACCCTCAAATTGTTTGCTCCAGATTTAATTATTTCTGCTTTAAAAAGAGAAGTGACGTCGTAACTGAAATTTATAATGACATGTAATAAATGTGACTCTTTATCATGATTCACATAAATACAGCATAATCAAACACATAAAAAAAAATTTAAATTAAAATTAATTAAAATCACGTTAATTGATTGATTTGATATTTTCCCTGTTTTTTTTTAATTTATTCAAGTAACTGGAAATAATACAAGATATGTATAATTAAAAATTATACTTAAATAATAATGTTTTATAAAATGCGTGTGCTACAGAAAAAAAAAACAATTTGGTAGGAACAGAAACGTTGGTAAACAATGTTCTACTCATGAAAAATAAACATGTTAGGGTTGAATATGAGTTCTAGATGACGCACATAATATACAGTGTATACACTTAGTATTTAATGCATAAAGGCCAATTTCCATGTTTGTTCGAAAAAAAAAATTGTTTGATCACAAATGTACAATTTTGTTTTTATTAACTTGAGGATTTTGTTGTTGTCAACATTTTCTCTGGACTCTGTTTTAAAATTCTTTTGCCAAAAATGTTTCTCAAAAAAATATTTGTGTTAGTCATTCTAAAAAAATATAAAAATTAGCATGACTGTAACAAGAGATTATTTTTGATAACATTATCCATGCATAAAAAATTATTGCCTTTTTTTAAATCCAAATTTAAAATTGTCAAAATTAATATTATAGATATAGTAGTCAGATGTGTCAAACTTTTTGAGCCGCACAGTATTTTTGAAGTAACACTTGTTTTAGAATAAAATTACTTTCTCAATAGTTTTTAGACAACGGTTCAGTCTTTAAGAACTTTATATCAACAAGATCATAATAAAATATTTGTGTTAGTCATTCTAAAAATATAAAAATTAGCATGACTGTAACAAGAGATTATTTTTGATAACATTATCCATGCATAAAAAATTATTGCTTTTTTTTAAATCCAAATTTAAAATTGTCAAAATTAATATTATAGATATAGTAGTCAGATGTGTCAAACTTTTTGAGCCACACAGTATTTTTGAAGTAACACTTGTTTTAGAATAAAATTACTTTCTCAATAGTTTTTAGACAACGGTTCAGTTTTTAAGAACTTTATATCAACAAGATCATAATAGGTAAAGAAATTTGTACGACTATACACTGTTTTAAATCGTACTCAGTTTCCATCGAATTCGTTTTATCTATTTTGAGGTCACATTAATATTTTTGCATAATTATAATTAATTAGTTCTATATTTAATTACGAACACAGAAAAAACAGAAAGGTCTATTTTAAGAATATGAAAGTGAAAATGAATTTTTGTTATAACATCACTCCTCTTTTCTCCACAGATAATAATTTCGACTGTTCTTCACGATTCTTGGCACACAAGCACAATTTTGCATATTTCGATTATTGTGAAGCTTTTGTGGTAAAAAAATAAAATTTGTAACACAGCGAATCATGCAATCGCCCATTTAAAGCAGAACATCTCATACTCCTTCTAGCATTTTAAATCATTCTAAAAAAAACCCAAAAAACCAAATAAAGTAAAAGGAAACAGGGATAATGTTTAAATAAAACACAAAAACAAAACAGTTTATTGAAAAAAAAAATCCAAACAAACACTCACTTGTTTACGCCGCAGAATCTCATCTCCTCATACAAAAAAGAAAACAAAAAAAAAAATAAATTGCCAACAGTCCCAAAAACCCCACGACCTAATTAAAAAACAACAACCCTCCCACATCCCTCGGCCCGCACCAACACCCATCGGACATTTTGCCGTTAGAACATGTCCCAATTAAAACCAACACTCTTCGGCCCTCATG